TGTTGTAACAGCTGTTCAAAGCACATTAAGAATAAGAAGCTTCGTATTTACAGCAATTAATCCCTACTTTGACAGACATGAGGAATATCCTAATTAGGCACAGACACTGGAAAATAAACAAAACAGGAAGTTATAAAATAACCTGAAGGCTAAAGACCCTATCCATATTTATAGCTATTTTTCCCCACTGTTGAGGTACAGGGGAAGAAATTGGGCAAACGTGGTGGTGGGAGACTAGTGAAATGAACAGTCAGATAAAGGATGCTAGCATTTAGAACTAGATGTAAGGATTCAATTTTGAATTAATTTGCATGATCAGATTAAAAAAAGGTAAAAAACTTATGTTAAAAAGCAAGACTGAAATGCAAAGGATTATATCACAAAGTTCAGCAGTAATTTGGCATAATTACATTCATTTGGCTAGACCAATAAAGTGGCTTAACCAATACACCACTTGGTTGGACACTAGCTAATCCTGAAAACCAGACAATCTTGCTTCAAGTCCTTAAATAATTACAAACCCTAAGCAGAAATGAATAGCAAGCCAATTTACATCAGTTCACTTGGAAGTTACTCTTTAAACAGATGTTTAGCTTCTGTATGTAGATGGAAATTTCCAGGTTTCTCAGCAGTCTCTCATGTAAGCTATTCAAAACTGGATTTTAGTAAATGCTACATTTTAGTATTTTGTTAAACATGTTCTTCTTCTTCACTGATATTACACAGGTCATGTGGTTGAAGCAATGTCAAAATCTAGACAGGGTCAGAATATTGTGTCCTGGAAAGAATATATATATATATGGGCCTTAAGACAGTATTATGGATATGAAGAAAGGAGTTATGCAAAGCAGAACTAAAACTAATTAAGGCAGAAACTTATGCAGAAACAGTAATTAAGGCAGGAATCCATTTTTTCTTATGCTATTCAACTTTTATTTATATTAAACTTCCTTTGAAAAAATAATTTTGAATCACAGTAGACAGTGCTGTTCTTTTATCTGATTGCAATATTTAAGAACTCTTCAATCCCCTGCAACCTGTACTTAAAAGAAAACCAGGACTGCTTTTCAAATTAGGTATCAGCAACATGAGGGGCTAATTAACCCTGTGTAGGCACAGGACCTCACAGCAGTGCCCAGAAAATGCCACCCAGTAGAATTCAGAGATGGTTCTGTGCTCCTACCAACAAAGGGCATGGACTTCTGACAGAACTCAGGAAAACAAATGCAAAATAGATTGATGATTAATTAGAACCATCAAGATGGAACTGCCATAAACCCCCAGGCAAAACAAGGCAGTTCCAGCTGGAGCTCAGTGGCTACCTTGCAACTGCTGAAACACAAACCCAGGAATCCACAGCACATCCTAAATGTTCTGAGAGGCATCATAACTTCTCATGGAAATGTTATGTAAAAACATGTCCAGCACCTGTGCAGCTAAGTCAAGCCTATAGATATTATATACAAAGAGATTCCTTATTTCATGTCTTTTCACTACACACTGATCCTGACTATTGGTCAGTGAGCTCCTCTGGGTCCTGGTGATTCTTAGTGAATGATTCCCAGACCAGAGGGTCACTGAGGATCCACCAAAGCTGAACAGGTTCCACCATTCTGTTGGTAGAAGAAAATATTTTCAGGGTTTACCATAAAAGAGTAGAACCCCACAATTCTACACCTGCACAAAAGCTGAATTTCAATTACCTTAACTTCAGAAAGAAGTAGAATTGTTATTCTTAGGCAAAAGTACATCTCTACCAATCCAAAAGATTCCCAACCATGTAAAAATTTTATTAAAAATTATTTAATCCGACAATTAGGAGGCTGAAGACATAAAATTAAATAGATGACAATTAATTCCCCATTGCACATTTTCAACACAACACCACATTCTGCATTCCATTCATCATTATAGGGACTGTTCACTACATTAAAATAATTAATAACTTAAGTCTGGTAATGTGGGAGCAGTAAGAGGCATAGGGAAAGAAGAGGCTTCATCCACAATTAGCAGAGATGAGAAGACCTGACACAGAAGCAGCACCCAGTAGAGAAGTGTCATCACCGTCCTCCCAACTAGTCTGTTCCTCAATAAAACACTTTATCTCATCAAAAAGCACAGCTATGATCAAAAATACTCAGGATATTCCCTCATCTGCTAGCACTGCACAGGAATTGCTGTGTCCCTACAGACCTCCAATGATTCCAGCAGCAAAGGTGGAATTGCTTAAAAAAAAATATTCTTCATAATTCATATTTTCCACTAACATTACTAGAAGCTGCCCACGTGCAATGAGGAAGAAAAAAAACCTCAGATGAATCATATCACTGGCATGAGTTAGTTCATATTCTTTTTTTCCACATGAAGTCAAAATATTGTCATGAAATTAAATGTTATTGTTTTAATCAAACTCTGCCTTTCAAGCACTCTGCTGCTTTATCCCCCATTAGAATAAATAATATAAATATTATATATTAATATAAACTGCAGTGGATCCTAAAAGATACCTTTGCTTTTCCCTCTCAAACAGAAAGGGCCACTGGATATTCTGTTAGCACATGAAGTTAATATTTCCCACCACAAAGAGAAAGGCAGACACACTACCAGGGACAGAGCTCATTTGATTCTTCCCCTCAACCTAGAAACAATCTATCTTCAAGTCCTCAATCTGCCTGTAAAAAACCCAGTGCCAACTACAGGCAAGGATATCACAACCCCAAGCAACAGCGTTCACATTCTCAGCTTCTGAGGCTTTTACACAAATGCAGTGCAAAGCTGAAGAATAAATAAAGCAGATCAATAGCAGTAATTTCCTCTCTCTCGTTAAGGAGAGCTCTCCTCTGCCAGGAGACACGAGCCACTAACAAATCATGCTCAAGCCTTGGCTCTGCAGCAGTTTGTGCTGTTGGGACAGGAAGCACAGAGCCTGCTGTGGCCATTGCTGTATTACTGGAACTTCAAACACTATCTTGTATATACACACACACAAGAATTCACGGTGAGCTAATGCTTCCAGCACACACAAACAGCCAGTTACAGCAAATCACTTGACATTCTGAAGAGTCAGACTTACTATTAACTTCTCCTTTAGCACGTGATGCCCCTGAGGTAATGCAGAATTAATCAATTCCCAGGCAAAATGTAATGCTTAAGCTGCCCCAAATATATTTCCACATCTGAGTAGCAAGCAGGCCATGAATTTGTGTCCCTCATTCCAAACCTCTACAGGTGGTAGCAACACACACTACACTAAAGGACACCTCCAGGATCTCATAAATAAGAAATAACAGATGATGCCCTGTCCAGCCACTGATAAAATGGCTCTACAAGCAAGTCTTGAATAACATAAGAACTAATGCCAAATCCCCTAAGCAGCTCTCCCTGTAAGATTCTGGCCAGGTCCCGTACAAATACAGTGCCCAACACATCAAACAATACTTGCACCCCCTGTTTGTGCCAAACTGGGATGACTCAAAACACAGCTCTTCCAGGGTCTCAACATTCATCAGCACAAGAGGATGAGTGGGTGAGAAGTGCCTGCAAGCTGCAGTGCCACGGGTAAGCCTGGATCCTGCTGCAGTGTCTGCAGCCACACAGCCAGCCCCACATGTCTCTCCAAGCTGGGACACAGCTGGCAGCCCCTCAGAGATCAAAAACAACGAGAGAAGCGTTGTGTTTCAGAAAAACTGTTTGGAAAAGACCCAAATGTACTTCAGCTAACATTCAAACAGGGTGTTTGGCTCATGGTCTGTCAGGTATCATTGTCTTACCAAAAGACAAGAAAGCACCGAGCAGCTGACGAGCAGGAATTTACTCTTCCATCATTTATCCCTGCTGTCCACTGTCTGCTCCCCAGGACATGCAGAAATTCAGCAGAATCCAGGACTTGCACTGGACAGGACCCAGCATACAGGGATAAGGAGATAAGACATGGGTAGGATGGGCATCAGGGAGACAGAGCAGAGGTGTGGAGAAACAGTTGCTTATGCTGAGCGCAATGTAGGACACCATGCACTGGTTAGAACAGAGGCAGATAGAAGGTGGGATGCTGTGGAAGCTATAGGTCACCTCCTGAATACAGCTAAATTTTCTTCTTGGATTATTATTTTCATTAAATACAGATACAGTAATACAAGTAAGAATAAACTTCTATTTCAGACCACATGACATGCCTGACTACTGCAATAATGCAGACAGCAGCAACATGCTGTAGGTTGCTGCCCAAGGCTGCAGCCTGAGCAGGGTGTCCCAGCAGGCTCCCAAAAGACAGAACAGCAGAGTAGCGCCAAGCTGCAAGCTGGGGCACATTCCCCATCAATCTCAGCACAGGCATAAAGCAGGTACCAGCACACTGCATAACTGTGGACATGAAGGAGTTTCTCAGGGTACCACAGTCCTACAGTGGCTCAGCTAAGGCACATTATCTACAGGTCTTAGTGCACAGGAACAGATTGGGGACCTCTGTCACTGTAACACAGCCTGAATGTACAAGGTGTTTTGTTCCTCAAGAGAGCAGCGTTCGCAGATGGCATTGAGGGACAGGACCTGGCAAAATTATGTTGACAAGTTTTACCACAGAAGCTGATTTATACAGAAACTCAGAGAACAAGAAGTCCTGCAAATCTGGAGAAACGCTATCCTGGAAGTAACCCCCTCACTTCCAACTTCCCTGCGTATCAAATCACCCAGTCACCAACCTGAGCATCACAGCAGGCAGCACTTCACAGTGGATCTTACTACAGCTGAAAAGTCTGCTCTGGTTGCTGGTTGCTTTTTTCCCCCCATACTTGTAACCGCAACAGCAAAGAACATTCTCCAAGCTACAGCTTAGCTCTCAGTTTCATCTCCATTTAATGTACATTTATATCCTCTCTGCCATTTCTTCCAACTCCAGTCAGCCTTCCCACCAAAAAGCTCCTTACTGTCTCTTTCCAGGAGGGATTAGTACATTATGGCCTCAAAGTCTTTAAACTTTTTTCTCGTCCTTTTCTCTCCTACAGCACTGCCAGAGCAGAGACTTCCCACCCACCTTGTGCAACGGCTTCAGTGAGACCACTTATAAAGATCAACAGATCAGTAACAGACCCTAAAGGATACACTTAATAACAAAATTTAAAACTACAGGACACTAATTCTGACTGTAAAGGTGTCAAATGGTGGCTCCTATAGAAATGTATTTATTGGATTACTACTTGGAAATACACTCTCTCAGCCATGAACTCAAATTACTGTTTCCATCAACTCCTTTCTCTATCTTGGAAAAGCTACAAACAGGAGTAAGAAAGAACAGAGAGTGAAGGACACCATATTCTCCTACACAGACATCAAAGAAGTGAATTTGTTAAGAAAGAAAAAGCCCCAAACATTGCAGTACTTTTTCTGCCACAGAAGCAAATATAAACAAGCATCTTGCCTGGTCATTTTTGTTTTCCCTGGGTTTTGGGTTTGGTTTGGTTTGTTTTTTACTGGTGTTTTGAATTACTCAATCACTTGCCTTCAACATTGAAACCAAGCACTCAAAGAGACCCTGGCAGCTCTAGAAAAATATAACACTCAATTAAACCAGAAAAGAAAAATGATACAATCAGCAGCAATATATATTCCCTAACAGAACTTTCCCCTAATGTGCTTTAGCTCAAAAGCAGAGATGAAAGAAATTCAGTCTCTGAATTTACCCACCCTAGCTAAGGTCTCTTGTGGTCTACTTGTTTATGAAACCATCAGTACAGTGTTAAGGAATTGCTGCCTGGCCCTTCCCTGGAAATGGAGAATCATCAACGTCTTCATAACAGGGGCTTCAGGGAGCAAATCACAGCCATGTGGAACCTTCTTAGCAACAATCTGAAAGAGCAGTAAATTAATACTTATAAAAAATAGCAAATAAGTCAAAGAACAGACATGATGCCTCGTAAATTAAGCTGGCAAGCCAGCCATTTCATTACAGCTAAAGAGAAATTCTGCATTTAGCAAGAGGCATGGGACTGTACTTACAAAAGGCAGGTTTCTACCTTGGAAAGCAAGACATTAACATGGTCAATTATCAACTGCACAGTAACTATAGAAACTCCTGGTACAACTTTATGGCTGAAAGGGTTAGTGAAATTCTTGGGTGCATAAATAACAATATAAATAGGAAAAGTCTGGTTACTTTCAATCCTGCACTTGGCACTTTTGCACCTGCTAGCAGAATAAAGCATCCTGTTCTGGCATCCCCAATTCAAGCAAGACATTGATATGCTGGAGAGGGCTCCGAGGACCACAAGAACTACAAAGGATCGAAACATCTTGAAGTGAAAGCCTCAAGTTCACTCTCTACTCACTCTCTCCAATTTAGCAAAGAGAAAGAAAATTGAAAAGCCACAAACTCCTGCTCAGCCTATGTGGAAAAGAATGCTGATAACAGAGGGCTCCTTGTTCTAGTAGACAAAAGTATAACAAGATTCAATGACTTTAAGTTAAAGCTGGAGAAGTCTGGCCTTGAACTATGGTGCACATTTTTGCAACAAGAGAGAGAGAGAGAAGAATTTTTTGTAAGCATCTTGTTAGGTGTTTGGATGCACTTTTCATCCATGGGAATTTTCAAATTCAAGTTCTTTCAGCTGTTTTTTAAAAAAATTATGTTTAAGCCAAATAAAAGTATACAGTCTTACAACTTCCCAGCACAAGAACAAGTGTTCATTATGATCTTTCCTGGGTTTACCACACATGATCCAAACTGAGACAAGTTCATTTCTCTTCAGGTTCAGTGCAGTAAAGATCCAAACTGCTAACAACATAACTCTCCACAGTTCCTGTAATCTAAGCAGGAAGATATTCAGCTCCTTAATTTAGGACCACGGTTCCATGCCCTGCTGCCTGTTGTACAACCAATTATATTATTTATAAGTTACTACATGTTGGTAGCAGCTCTCAGAGCAGAACTGCTAAGGACACATAACACCATTCTAGCCTGCTTTTAAAGCTGATGAGGGGCCACAAGACAAAAGGGAGTAACTAACACTCTTTAGAAATAGAAAACTTAGTGACAGGTATGTCAGAGGAGCACCTAATTTAGATTAAAAAGAAAAAAAAAAGAAATAGTCATGCTGATCTCTAAAGGCACCAGGCTACAAGTCAGCATTAGTCAGGATTTTTGATCTATTTTTGCTTACTCTCACGAGGGAAAAAAGCCTAAAAATTTGCAAATTATGTTTCCTTTTCTGTCTGAGAGCTTGCACACCTATGGTTCAAGTAAAAGCCAAGGCAAAATTTGCACTGTAACTTCCACTTGCTCTTTACAGGAGTAGCAGCTTTCACTCCCATCCCAGAATAACAGCAATGCTGTTATGGAGCAGCACTGCAGAATTCAGACAGTGAGCATGTCACAAAAGTGAGCGCTTTGCATTATAAACACAGAGCAGTTCTTCCTCTTATTCACACATCCAGCAAACCCCTTATTTTAGGAAAATTAAATGTAGAGCCCCATTTTACTATAGGGCACTGATTAAATTATAATGCAATACAGACAGCATCAACAAAACACTGAGAAAGGAATTCAGTCAAGACACAAACCACTCAATGGTAAGCCAGCTTCAAAAAAAAACCTGGAATAATATCCTAATAGAAATATTAGAATATTCTCATATTCTAGAAGATCTAATATTAAAGTTGTTAAGACAACAAGGACAGCCTTGTTTTATATAGTTTATATACTAACTTTACATAAATAGATGAAAAGGGATTATTGATAGTTGCTTATACGTAAATGCTGTTCTCCTTTTTCTTTACATCATTTAAGTTTCATGCACTTAACATTTAAAAAGATAACATAAGCTCTTCTTACCTTCCCAATGAAATCCTATAATTAGGAATTTATTTTAGTCTGAATCTTGATCCCTACAAAAGCAAGGCTCCTACTAATATCAGTGGGAAACTTTGTTGTCATAGTATTGGCTAAATTATCATTCCCATCATCAGTAACACTAAACAAAAATCTTGGTATAACATGGCAGAAAGAAAAAAAAACAATCACAAATGTGAAAAATCTACTGCCATTCAGGTAAGTTTAGGTAACCAGATGTATTTTTCTCCCACATCAATTGCTAAAAGCAATAAACAAACTTGCTTAGCAATATGCCAGATCCTAAACAGGTAGCACCCATTTTCAAAGCATTTTTTAGATATTACATTCATTAAATGTATGGCCAGCAGCACACAGAGAACAGATTACTGGAACTGGCAGAGCCATCTCACTTATTTCAGTGTCTGCATTACATACAACAAGTAAAAGTACTGAATAAAGCTCGTAATGCAGTAGTGAATGCAAACAATATCAAACTTTATCAATGTTTATTATGTAATATTTCATTAAGAACATCTAAACAACATATCAATATACCTACACAACCAACCTTCATCTCCACATGTACCCTTTCCTCCCTTTCCACAAGCTATGCTGCTTTTAATGGATATTTTATGACATTTTTGATCACAAACACATTTCCTAGCTTTTTTGAAGCTCCACTTATAAATACAATAAAGTGGAAGGCCCTACACTAAAACACACCATGAGAGCCAAGATCTACAAATAAATAGTGATTGAAAGCATGCAAACCCCTTCAAAACCATGAGGTTCAGCCTGGCCTTACTCAACACTTCCCAGCCTCTGCAATCCCTGAGGAGTGGCACTACCCTCACAACTGCTCTGCTACACCAACAGGGGAGTTAAAACAGAAAACCCTGCTCCTCCCTAGGTTCTCCCCTCACCTTCTGGGGAATTGTGGGGCAAAGAGCAGCAGAGGGACACGACAGGAGGGATGGGAGAGGAAACAGCACAGAATACAGGAGCCCTCCAGGAACATGGGGGGCAAGCACAGCATCTCTGCACACCACAGGAAAAGAGTTTGCAAGGGACATGCTTCAACTCTACCAGAAAAATTAAGGATTAGAAAAAAAACAGAGTAAGATTAATAATTTACAGATCACTTACAAGGCTTTCTGTTAGAGCTCTACTCAAAAACATCTACATACATGAGTAGTCCTGGCAGAACTGTACAAACAACATGCAAGTGCTTCATATGTTCACGAGTGCATTCATGTAGAAGTGCTGGGAAAGCTGCACAGGCAAATGCCCTGTGCTAAATCACAACCATAATCCTGCCTGCTCACATCAAGAGTTCGCATGAATCTATCAAAAGAAAAAAAGTTTAAAGATTTAATCCCGTTTAGACAGATGCACATTCAGCGTGAAAAAGGTAAAAATGAGAGTGTTTCTTTCAAAAAATTGTTTAAAAAAATCCAGGTAACAGCTAAGTTAATTATCTTACTTTTAAAAATGCAAGTTAACTGGTTTGTGTAGGATGCTCTGATTCCACAAGGTCTACCTATCAAAAAAGGGGAGCAAAAGACAGCAAGTAAAAAACAGGCAGAAACTTTCAGTCGCTACTCAAAGCAATTTTAATTGGTATATACTGAAGGAATATGCTCCAAGGTGATAATGTCTATTTAAAAAAACCCATAACAAATATGATAAGTCCTTTCTGGACAACACCCTTTCCAACTTGTATTGTACCGTTCTTCCTTCTTTCCCCATGAAATTCCACAGCAGTGCAATTCCATACACTGACTTGCTCATATCTCAGTTTAAAGGGGAAAAAAAGTAATAAAATTTAATTTCATCCAGCTAAATATTTTGTCAGATATTCTGCACTAGAAATATACACTGTAATTTAGAATAAATGTTCCAAATCAGTTCAATCCTTGCTCACTCCAAGCATTATCTTGAACTTTAGCACTTGCTTTCCTAAACCTTGTTAACACATGTATGACCTTGATCAAAAAAGTGTTTTTTTAGTTCTTTGAGCTGAAACTCATCATCAAACTAAAACTGCATCATAAAAGGGGCAACAGCAGGTCTGCCAAGCTACTTTATGTTTTAAAGTTGGGCTTTTTACAAGACTATGCTTCATCTATGTGAAGCAGAAAAATTAAGAGGGTGCTCAATCTGCTATTTGCAGCCTTGATGGAAATGAAACTTCCATGTTCCTAATATGATGTTTATAAACAACGCCAAAGTTCCAGATACTGAGTCATCTCTGCCTTTTGGCTTGCCTTCAGCTGAGGGGATTTTCCAGAGTGTGAGCAGGCACTGTTCACACTTTGCTGGCGCCCCCGAGCATGGATGCAGCGTTTATGCAGAATCATGCAAACAGAGAACACCGACTGTGCAGGCAGCCACAAAACTCACTTAGCACTACATATGTCATTCTAGATTTCTCCCACAGTCTCTTCCCTATTTTTCCCCTCCCTTTTTTTCTTGTTCCTTTTGTTTTGTTGTTGTTTTGGGTTTCTTTAATCTCCATCAGGGCAACCAACACTCACAGCCATGCAAGCCCTGGCTCCCCAGAAACCCCAGGAAAGAGCACGGATTGTGCTTCACCAGCTGCCTCCTGATCCCTGGGGTTTCCTCACTGGTGCCACTGCTGCCTACACGTGGTAAGTGTAGATTTATGTGCAACTGTCCCATTCTTCTGAGCTCTGTGGTAATGAACTTGGAAGTGAGTGCAGGCATTTCCCCATCCTAAGGAAGAGATGCCTGCACTGCCCAAACTGAGCCAGAACACCAGTAAGTGGCTAAAAAGGATGATGTTAAGTGAAGCAGGTTGTATAATGTGACTTTTGAAATGCAGGCAAATTAATTTTTAAGTATGAATCCCTTCTACATGGATTTTCCATTACCAGGAATAAAATTATAGAAGTATCTGCTTAAAACTGGGAAAAGAACACAACATAAACCCTAAGGAAAAATAAGTATATTCCTTCCCTTGTATCCACTACTGTGAGCTGAGAAAGACTCTTGCTTTAATGAGCACTCACTTGCTAGAAGTGATGAATATTTCAGATGTTCTTTCAAAATAAATATAGAGAACCTAATACAGTATTTATGGCACAGATGAATTTCCTAAACGAGTCGCCCAATAACCAGAAAGGAGCATTAAGACATGAGTATGGAAAATTATAAATAGTACACAAAAGGGCACAGTATAATAGTGTGTATCACTTTTAGTTTCCTTTCTATCTGTCCAACCTATTTGCAACTGGAAAGCACTACTTATTTTCTCCTGTACAGAATTTGTGAATGGCTTGTCCTCAGCAGCACAGCTAGAACATGAGCCCTCTAAGTAAATAAATGTGCATCTATCAAGACTCCAGAAAGTTAGGAAAAAACCCTAAACTCCATGTATTATCAGAAGAAAGTACTAGAAATCCTCCTTTAAGAAGCTCAAGAATACTACTCAAAGAAAATACAAAGAGAAAAGGAGATATCTTGTTGAAATTTTGAAAATGTCACTAGTCAGATGCCCTCAGCCACAACCAATTGTAAAATCAAACACTGAAGTCATAATTCAACAGATAAGACACCACTTTACATGGCTGTCCCACCAAGAGCAGAAGCCAGGTTGGAGTCATGTAACATAACGTCACAGTTCTAAAAAATGCCCCAGTAAAGAAGTCTGCAAATTATGCAGCATTTGAAAGCTTACAGAGCTGCAGTCTAACTTAAGATGCCCAGCCTTCCTTCTCCCACCCAAAACCAAGGGCCAACCCCACCAACCCAAATCCAGCATTCCATGAGATGCCTTCAGAGGTACTGCACCTTCTCTGGTGGATGC